GATATAAACTTTCGGGAGAGCAACTTAATGTGCATCAAAAGTCTTTTTGAGAATTCCTACACTTTGACTCACTGATTCTGCCTCCAGGAATTTACCCTAAGGAGATTAATCCCTTAACCATTCAGCACATATTTATAGAACACCTATTATTATGCTTGGTCCTTTGCTGGGTATACACTGGTAAGAAAAAAAAAGAAGACCAGATATCTATCAGAATGGAATTTAGTGTAGGAGGTAATGAGATGAAACCTCAATAGAAAAAGGAACAAAGAGAATAAAAAGTTATTCACCAGATAAGAAATGAATAGTGGAAACATGGGTGATTAAAGACTGACCTCGCTCACAACTGGGAAGGCTGGGAAAATTTGATCTTTCAGGCAGGAGGTGGGCACACACTGAGAGAGCTGTTCTGAGGGCACTCAGACAGAATGTATGAAAATGCTAGGTGTGAGACTCCTGAATAAGAATGGCATGTTTTCTTGGTTTCCGATAACAAGTCACGTGACTTAGTGTTTTCCTTTCTATTTTCTTTGGGTGCTCAGAGCCCTATTTGATCTTCAACCCTTAACCATTTAAATCTTAGGATACAAATTGTACAACCTAACTCTAAATATGTGGGACATCTGAGAAACCCAAATGGAGGGAAATTCTGCAAAATAATCGGCTTCTTCAAAAAGGAGCAAGGGACCAAAGAAGAGTAAGGAGCCAGATGCTCCAGGTGAAAGGATGCCACGGAGATGTGATGGTAAACACAGTTGGTGAGTCTGGATTAGATCCTGGGCCAGGAAAAAGTAGAGCTTCTTGGGACTCAGTGAAATGTGAAGACAGATCACAGATTAGATAAAGTCTTTAAATCAGTGTTAAACTTCCTGCTTTTGATAACTGCACTGTGGGTATGTAAGAAAATGTTCTTTTCCTTGTTCTTATAAAATACATACTGAAGTCTCAGTGAGGATGAGGGTGAGAACCACCGAGCCGCAGACTCCTCCAATGACTGGGTCAAGGAAAAATTTTAAATCCAGGTAATGTCTTTCTTCTGTACTATGATTATCCTAGTGAATCATTAAGAGACTGAGAGGCTCTCCTTAGTTCTGGTTTTTGTTGGGCTACATTTGACTTCATTTTTGTTAGCAGGCATGCTATCCTGCTAAGAAAAAAAATCCATGAATCCAAAATTGACCACAAAACATATACTAAAAAATGTTTATTCTCTGATGGCAGGTAATTTATATTAGTGAATACAATGCCAACACTTCGTGCTTTTTTCTCTATCTCAATTGATTTAAAACCAGGTGTGACATTTAAATTTTCTGAGTCTTAGTTTCCAAATTTGCAGGATGAGGATTCTAATACTTGCCTCCAAGTGTTGAATAGAAAAAAATGCAGAGCATCTGATATTGTACCAGACACCAAGCAGGTGCCTTCCACACGTCAGGGAGTATTACTACACATGTCTCCAAGTTTCTTCCTATTAGCTTAGCTAATTAGAGCCTGGGTCTGTGAAATACCAGTTCTATGCCTGCCCAAGGCAAATTGGTACTTCCTGGTCTTAAGCCAGCTCCCATTCCTGGATTCTGGGTCACTCATCAGCAAAGCCTTTGGATCATAGAAAAAGCAAGAGAATTTCAGAAAAATATCTACTTCTGCTTCATTGACTCCGCTAAAGCCTTTGACTCTATGGATCACAACAGACTGGAAAATTCTTAAGGAGACAGGAATATCAGACCACCTTACCTGCCTCCTGAGAAATCTGTATGCAGGTCAAGAAGCAACAGTTAGAATCAGACATGGAACAGCAGAATGATTCCGAATTGGGAAAGGAGTACGTCAAGGCTGTATACTGTCACCCTGCTTATTTAACTTATATGCAGAGTACATCATGAAAAATGCCAGGCTGGATGAAGCACAAGCTGGAATCAAGATTCTGGGAGATATATCAATAAACTCAGATATGCAGATGACATCTCCCTAATGGCAGAAAGCAAAGAGGCACTGAAGAGCCTCTTGATGAAGGTGAAAGAGGAGAATGAAAAAGCTGGCTTAACATTCAACATTCAAAAAACTAACATCACGGCATCTGTTTCCATCATTTAATGGCAAATAGATGGGGAAACAATGGAAGACTTCATTTTCTTGGGCTCCAAAATTGCTGCGAATGGTGACTGAAACCATGAAATTAAAAAGATGCTTGCTCTTTGGAAGAAAAGCTATGACAAACTTAGACAGCATATTAAAAAGCAGAGACATTACTTAGCCAGCAAAGTTCTGTCTAGTCAAACCTTCTGTCTAGTCAAAGCTATGGTTTCTCCAGAAGTCATGTATGGATGTGAGAGCTGGAATATAAAAAAGGCTGAGCACCGTATAATTGATGCTTTTGAATTGTGGTGCTGAAGAAGACTCTTGAGAGTACCTTGGACTGCAAGGAGATTAAACCAATCCATCCTAAAGGAAATCAGTCCTGAATATTCAATAGAATTGTGGTGCTGAAGAAGACTCTTGAGAGTACCTTGGACTGCAAGGAGATTAAACCAATCCATCCAAAGGAAATCAGTCCTGAATATTCAATGGAAGGACTGATGCTGAAGCTGAAACTCCAATACTTTCGCCACCTGATACAAAGAGTTGACTCTTTGGAAAAGGCCCTGATGCTGGGAAAAATTGAAAGCAAGAGGAAAAGGGGACGATAGAGGATGAGATGGTTGGATGGCATCACTGACTCAATGGACATGAGTTTGAGCAAGCTCCAGGAAATAATGAAGGACAGGAAAGCCTGGCACGCTGCAGTCCATGGGTTTGCAAAGAGTCGGACACGACTGAGGGACTGAACAGCAACAGCAGCAATGCAAGACCCTCTGACTGAGCCATCAGGGCCTGGGCCATCCTGTGTCTTACTTGCCATCACCATTCACAAAAAGCCACTCAGAGCCGTGATGCATAGGCTCCATATATTATAACAGGTTAGTACAAAACTTTTGTCAGATATTTTTATTATTTTTAAGATTTTTTTGGATGTACACCATTTTTTAAGTCACTATTGAATTTATTACACTATTGTTTCTGTTTCACATTTTGGTCTATTGACCAAGTGGCATGTGAGATCTTAGCGCCTCAACCAAGGATTGAACACACACCCCCTCACTGGAAGAAGTCTCAGCCACTGTACCACCAGGGAAGTCTCTGTTACCTTCAAAAACCATCAGTCTATGATAGAAACAATTCAGAATGGTGGTTGCCTCTGAGAGAGGAATGGAGATTGCCTGAGAAGGAGAGTGTGGAACCTTCTAGAGTGTTGGTAATGTTCTACATCTGTTGCAGGGTATACAGTTATCAAAACTCAGAGGACATGGACTTATTGTGTACTTCACAGTTCACATGTGCATTTTGCCTCAATAGGAAAAAAAAACCTGTAAGCACCAAACTCTGATGATACACATGTTGAAGTATTTGGGAAGAATAATGGCAGCTGCAATTTAAAATGCATTTTAAAATTAGGCACATTAATGGATGGATAGAAGAATGGATAGATGGATAGTAATAAAATAAGTACAGTAAAATGTAAATGGTAGAATCTAGGTGGTGAGTATATTGCTGTTTAACCACATAATTATTTCTATTTTGCTACATGTTTGGAAATGTTCAATATAGAATGTTGGGGGTGTGGGGAAGAATCAATACTCAGGACCCAGGACCTCAAAATGGACTGACAGTTAAAATACTGATTGTTTTTAACATGGAAGCCATAATTCTCATTGGGTTGGATGAAGAAAACATAATTAAAACAATGAATAATCAGTTAGCTTTCTTCTGTCTCGGCCACTGGCTGGTCTAGTGAACTGTAAGAACTTGGACAAATCCCGGTCAAAGATGAAGGTCAACGTCCAAGTGCAGGCTCAAGGTCCACGTCCAGGTCCAGGACTCAGTCACCATGTTCTTCATCTCCACTCTCACCCCAGTCCTCATCCTCAAACTCAAGGCCGGTTTCACGTCCAGGCCCAGTCTTGCTCTTCCCCTCAGTCTGACCCTCAGTCCGACGCTCGCTCCTGCTCCACACCTCAGCCTCACCGTCACTCTCTCCTGGCCTCATCAGCTTCTGTGTATTCACCCCGATACCCTCAGCCTCACTCTCAGTGTTATAACTCCCATCACCCTCACTTCAACCTTCTCCTGACCCTGACTGTCATTTCCACCGTCATGGCAAAAAAAGTAGACACATCTAGATCCAAGATCCATGTCCAACATCTCTGTTAAGATCCGAGGTACAGATGCATTGTCCACGACCAAGGTCAGGTCTCGGTCCATACCTGAGGTCCAGATCCATGATACAATTCCAAGGCATAGTTTAGGGTTGAGATTGCAGGATGTTTCCAGTTTTAAATTAAAAGGAGAGAGGTTCCCCACCCTCCCTCATGTAATAACTGTGGGCTACAAGGGTGTTCTTAGATTCTGGTATTTCGGTTATTTTCTTTTTCTTTTAAATTAAAATAATGCTGCAGTAAGCATTTGTGTATGTCTCTGGGTATACACATATGGAAGCTTTCCTATAATATGGAGCCAGAAGTAGGGTTGCCACATCACAGGTATGAGTTGTCAACTTTACTAGGCAAAATCACTTCCTGAACTTCAGAGAAGCATTTTTCTCCTCCGTTTTATTCCTCATGGTTTTCACTTTGCATTTCCTTCCTTGGGGTATTTTCTGGGCCCCCAGACCCAGAAAAGGAGGCTGCCTTGGCTTCCATTTAACAGAACTCTGGCAGAAGGATTCTAGAGAGACCAGAGTTTGCTTAACAAAGTTACAATAGGTCTCTGGCCCTGCCTAACTTAGGGTGTTGGTAGCAGCAGTTATTTGAGGGCTAGTGCTTCAGGGGGATGGAGCAGGCTTCTCTCGTATTGAACCAGTTGAGTTACCAATAATTTCAGATGGCCTTTATACCGGTTACTGCCAAGGAATCCTGTGCCCAGCTCAGAGTGGTTCCTTGAGGCCTAGAAGCTTTGGGACTTTCCAAGTTTGCAGTATCGGAACCTTTACCAGGCTGGGTTCCTCAGACCCAAAGCTCCAGCCCGCTCATCCAAGGTCTGGCCCGCTCCCCGCTCCCCGGGGTTCTGCCAGGGAGCCTGGAATCAGTCTGTACATTGAGAGGTGCTCACCAGCGTTTTCTTCCTTTCTTGTCTCGGAGACTGTTTTTCCTGAGACCGACAGATACACACACACAAACACATACACACAAACACACCTCCATGAGTTTAGAGTCCCATAGAAGGCACGAAGAGAAGCTGCCTCCTGGCATGGACCCCCATGCTGGACCCGATGCAGAGAGAGGGACTGCCTTCGGGGCAGCACACGGGCTCGGCTGGGAGCCCACAAGCCCTTTCCCAGGTTCCAAGACAGTGAATGGAAGTCCTGAAAACAACCCGAGACTCAACTTCCCAGCAACCTAGGCAGCCAAGGGCTAACTAGATGAAACTGTATTCATTTATTCCTCTGGGACAATAATGTGACATTTTCTGCACCCAAGAGGTTGAAGGGCCATCCTCATTACGCTGTGCAATTTTAAAGTTTATTCCCAGCAGCTCTGCCAGGTGGGCAACGTAGTTCCCATTTCTCGGGTGAGGAAAGCCAGATATAGTGAGGTCAAATAACCTGCCTGAGGGACAGAGTCGTGACTTGAACAAGAGCAGTCCCAAGCCGCTCACACCGAAGCCCATATTCTAACTTATTACCCAAACTTCTTGGGCATAAGCATTGGGCAAATCTGGGGAAATGCTTACCTGGCTTCCTGAACATCCATGCCTTCCCAGACTGCCCGACCACCTCCCCCATGGCGACCCGGGACAAATGATGCCAATAGGCTTAGCGTCCTGCCTGGGATGTTCATTTTATATAACTGAACGCTTTGAGTTACTCACTCTGACAAATGTCGCAGCTTTGTTTGCCTTTCCTCACCTGCTTTTTGTACACATCCCCTCACATGGTGCCTGTCTGAAACCTGCTCACCAGTGCCCCTTCCTTTGGGGAAGCCAGGCTCATTGCCCTAGAAACATACCCCAGGGTATGTGACCACGTGAGTTTTCCCTTATGACGAAACATGAAGCAGGAGTCATTCAGTGTTTTTTAAATCCAGGTCTCTATTTTTCCTGTGTAAATATGAATGTAGGCAAAATTAATAGTTAAGGCTTTTAAAATACGTGCATTTTGGTAACACGTTGCTAGTTACATTGTGCTGATGATAAGAGCTTGGATCACATATTTCTTTAATAGTTCTTTGAAATTTCTTTTAAAAAGTTAAAATGGTCAGATGATCCATAGTAGAAACCAGAACAGACCCATATAAATCCAAAATGCATACTTGAAAAGGCAGCAGCTTCTGTATGAACTACCTTATGTAGCATGTGGATTATAACTTAGACCGCAGAGACTCCAGGGTTTCCAAAGGACACGGGGCATCTTGTCTGAGAAGAAAAGAGGACAGGAAGAAAGAGGAAGAGGAGGAAGAGAAGAGAAGGAAGGAAGGGAGAAGGGGAGACGAGTTCAGAGAGAGGAGCAGGAAAACCTGCATATATGGCTTCTCTGCATCAGGAGACTGACTTGTCTTTGGGTAATTTACAACGTGTATGAAGCAGAGGATGGACCATTAAGGTAATCATTCACAGTCATAGAACCCAAATCTATAGATACCTTCTAAAATCTTAATGCAATATTATATACCGGATTAAACAAAAAAGAGCCAGGTCGACACTCTGCACATTTTTGTCTAAGAGCTTTGCCTCAGGATATAATTCCAAGGGAGAGTGAGGCTTCCTGTTCCAGGGTGCAGGGACAGTTTGCAAAGACATGGCCTAAGGGTCTTGCCTCTTGAAAGTCCTAGTGGTTAGCTTGTTTGCCTTAGGACCCCATTCCGACCTTCAACCTGGGAAACTTTCCCCTCAACACGACTCTCCCCTCCAGGCCAGAACAGGCTGTCCCAGGACCCTAACTCAGGGACAGGGACAGAGGCTGTCTTTGAAGCCTGTTGGGGAGTTAGGAGATGTCCCTTTCCCTAATGGAGATGCTCTTTGCTGTGAAACAGATTCTGGTTTCACAGGAGTTGACGGCAGGACACCTGGATTTGCTTCTCAGACTTGAAATGGCCTCAGCTGGGATGACCTGGCTTCATTCTTTGTGCCTGTCACGGCATCAAAGAGCACACGAGGAGATACCCAAGTCAGAAATATGCCCAAGCTGTCTCGTGTATCCAATGTGAGTTACCACATGTACTCTCACCTTCTGTTACCTCTCCCTCATCCAGAAGTGGTGGAGTGAGGGGCAGGAGGGGTGGGTAAGGAAATAATATCCCATTTACAAAAATATGAAGTTCAGGAGTCTAAATATTCTCCATGGATTAAAAAAAAAAATTTCTGTGCTCACATTTTTACATCTTGACCTGGAGACATCTTACACTTCACAAAATCCTGCCTCACGAAGCGTTTCTTGTGGAGCTCACAGCAATCTGTCACTTAACTGGGACAGACAAAAAGAGTCCCATTATCTAGATGAGGAAAATCAGGGCTCTCTCCCAAGGCCACACAGCTCACAGAGGGTAGGGAAAACTGGAATTCAATCCTGGCCGGGCCCCGCGCCGCGCAGCCTCGCGCCGACCGTGACCCGGGGAGGCAGGAGACGGACATCTGTGTCTTCACTGCTGACTGGCCTCTATTTGCAGAGCATCCCCCTCAGGCGGGAGGCCCGTCTTCACCTGGCTTTCCAACTGGCTGAGCCGCTGCTTCACCTTCATCTGGGTGGCGTTGTATTCCGCCAGGAGCCGTGCAAACCTGGTCTGCAGGGCGTCCAGGGAGGCCTCGAGGTGCACCACCTTCTCCTCGATGTCCTTGGGGTCTGCCCCGGCCTTGGCCAGCTCCTCGTCAATCAGGTTGTCCTTCATGAGGATCTGCCGCCCCTTCTCCTCCAGTGCCTTCTTGGCCTCGGGGTACTCGGTGAGTGCCTCCATCAGGTCGTCCTTGGAGAGGCAGAACAGGTCCGAGTAGCCGATGCTCCTGATGTTGGCCGTCCGGCGGTTCCCTGACTTGCTCCCCTTGATGTTCAGGATGCTGATCTCCCCAAAGTAGCTCCCGTCGCTGAGGACCACGAACTGGGTGATGCCGTCCTCGGCCACCACGGCCAGCTTGCCCTCCTTGATGATGTACATCTCCCTCCCAATGTCCCCCTTCTTGCAGATGTAGTCCCCAGGGCTGAACACCGCCGGACGCAGCTTCAGCACCAGCTCCACCAGCAGCCCTGCCTCGCAGTCCTGGAAGATTCGGACCTTCCTCAGGGTGTCCAGGTGCACATTGATGGCGATCTCGGCCTTCAGCTTGTCGGGGAGGCTCTTGAGCACCTCCTTCTCATCCACTGTCTTCTTATTGGCCCACAGGTAGTCAAACCAGCGGATCACCCGTGTCTCCAAGTCCTTGGTCACCTTGCGGAACTGCATGTACTGCTTGATGGAGTCGATCTTGGCCTGGAACTCGGCCCTTGAAGCGTTCATGTTTGAGATCATGGAGCCCACATTGCCCACGATGGTGGCAAAAATCAGGACTCCCACCAGGAAGTCGATGACCACAAAGAGATACTCCTCGTCTTTTACGGGGGGTGGGGTCTCCCCAATGGTGGTCAGGGTCAAGGTGGACCAGTAGAGACTGTAAATGTATTTTCTGGAGAGGCGCCCATACTCTGGGTTTGAGATGTTTGGGTAGACCCAGGAGTCAGTCCCGAAACCAATGAACTTGGAAATGGCAAAGTAGATGCAGGCATTCCAGTGGATGATGATGAGGATGTACAAGACCAAGTTCCCAATCCTGAACATGTTGGGGTAATTGGTCCTTGTCTCTGTGCGGTCAAAGAATTCGAAGAGCCGGGGCAACTTCAGTAGGCGGTTGAACCTCAGTTCTGGGTAGTTCATGCCCAGCTTAAAATAAGCCAGGTCTGTGGGGACCAGGGACAACATGTCCAGCTTGAAGTGCAAGGTCTTCGTGTAGTGCTTCCACAGCCGGTTGGCATCTGTGACCATCAGGCCTTGCTCCAGGAAGCCTGAGGAAGAAGACCGATCACGTGGGCATCAAAGAGGCTGCCTGTGTATGATCACAGCCCACAGAAAGATATTTTACCTTGTGACTGCACAAGATGTGGTATTATATATATATAAAATAGAAAAAATTTCCAAAAACCACACTCACGATTATTACAGGAAATGTGCTCTGGTATTTTCTATCAGATCATCTAACCTATTTTATTCAACTAAAAATACAGATCAGTTAGGTAAATTTGAATGTGGATTGGGTATTTGATAGTAGTGAAGAAAGATTATTAAATTTTAAGAGATAAATGGAAGTTATATTTTTAAAAATGGGTCCTGGTTAAAGCTACATGCTAACATGGTTACTGTCTGAGATTCACTTTAAAAAACCTCCATCCAAGAACAGAGTGTGGGAGGATAAATGAACCAAAATTAGCAAAGTGTTGATAATAGTTGGAGCTGGATGAGGGTGCATGGGGATTCATAATAGTGCTCTCTCAGTTTTGTATATGTTTGAAAATATTAACAATTAAAACTTTAAAAACACCGGTCATAGCCTCGCAAATTAACTTTACCAGTTACTAATGGGGCATGACCTGTCTTTTTAAAACCTTGTCCATGGGACTTCCCTGATGGTTAAGATTTCACCTTCCAACACAGGCAATGTGGGTTCCATCCCTGGTCGGGGAGTTAGGACCCCACAGGCCGGTCACTTAGTGCTTCTGGACCCTGGTTTCTCAAGCAGTAAGATGGAGATAATCCCACCCGCACTTCTTGTCTCCTGCAGCAGTTCTCACGAGAAAACAAGATGTGCTTGGAATGCTTTGTGTATTATAAACCTGCCCAAGGTTCTGCTGCGATCTGGTGGTGTTTGTATCCACAACCACGGCACAGTTTTTAGTGTAAAAACCTTGGAAGTGACAAGCAGGGCCTCTGCCAGCTTATGTGATGTCTTTGTGCAAATCAGAAAGAGGATCCTCAAGGACGCACAGCTTGGAGACTGAGGCATGGGTGCGGCTTTAGGCCTGGCTCACAGCTAGAGGTGGTCTTGTTACTGACTGGGGTCCTTGGACTCTTTAACCAACAGAAACTGGTGAGAGACCAGACCAGGAATTCGAGCATTCTGGGATGCAGGCAGCAGCAGCACTAGGCCATGAAACGAGTAACAGGTGTCCTTGCTTGCTCCCTGCGGGTGGGCTGCTTTCTTAAGCGGGGTGGGGGTGCATCTGTGGGTTGGGCTGGAGGTGTGGCTTAGGTGGTCTGTATATGGGGATAGTTATTTTTCATTCCTTATAGATCCTTTGTATTCTGTTGCTGCACAAGCGCTCTGGCAGAAGGTCCCAGGTCACAGGCTCTTAATCTGAAGGAAGTCACACCTTCCTAGGCCCCGTTTCACATTTTGGTTCTCTGTATATTACACCTACTCTAAAAGCCATGGGTAACATGCCCTGGCTCTTCTGACTGTCCAAGAAGAGGAACCCCAAGGGCTACTGTTCTGGATCTCCATGAACCTGTCCACAGGCCCAGGCCCCCCCACTGCTGCATGCTGTGGGATCTACGACCCTGGGCCCTGGCCCACTCACCTGTCCGGGCTCGGACCAGCACATCCAGGCCATAGAGGATGTCTGCCGAGTAGTCCAGGACCAGCCAAAGCATCAGGTGCTCGGACTGAAGCTCATCGAAACAGGCCCTAAAAAAGTGCAAGAAGGGCAGTGTGGGGGAGGGCCGGGGTGGGCAGCAGCGCTGCGCTACAAACTGGGGCTCAGTTCATCCCAACAGCCCGGCCTGCTGGCTGTACCCCAGCACCTCATCCCGGCCTCGATGAGGGACCTGGGCTCTCAGAAGCTTTTCTGCCTCGAGGTCACAGCTCCTAAGAAGAGCTGAGACTGACACCAAAGAGTGGGCCCTGTTGTCTCTTGACAGTAAGTGATATGATGGCCCCTTCCCCACACTGGGGGAGGGCGGTTTTTCCAGGCCTCAGTGGTAGAGTCACATGAAGGGGTTAGAACTTGCCCTTTCTGGGGCCAAATGCCAACAAAGATACTACAACTTCTAGAGATTAACAATGGAACAAGTCACATCTGCCCCCTGCAAAACAATAGCTCACCATGCACCCCAAACGGCTCAGAAAGCCCAAAGCCCCGCTCTGGTGTCTGCCCCCCGGTGGGGGAGGTTGGTCCAGACTGGGATTGACATATACACACTATTATATATAAAATAACTAATAAGACAACTAATAAGGACCTATAGTATAGCTCAGGCAACTCTCTGTATGACTTATATAGGAAAAGAAACTAAAAATCAGTAAATATATGTATATATATAATAGGCTCACTTTGCTGAACACCTGAAACTAATACAACATTGTAAATATACTATATGCCAATAAGAATTAACAGAAAACAAAAAAGAAAGCCCAAAGCCCATAGCCAGCGGAGAACACCGCCTGTTACCTACACCCCCGCCCTGCAGGTCAGCGCAGGAGTGACCCAGAGGCACAGTTTTTAGTGTAAAAACCTTGGAAGTGACAAGCAGGGCCTCTGCCAGCTTATGTGATGTCTTTGTGCAAATCAGAAAGAGGATCCTCAAGGACGCACAGCTTGGAGACTGAGGCATGGGTGCGGCTTTAGGCCTGGCTCACAGCTAGAGGTGGTCTTGTTACTGACTGGGGTCCTTGGACTCTTTAACCAACAGAAACTGGTGAGAGACCAGACCAGGAATTCGAGCATTCTGGGATGCAGGCAGCAGCAGCACTAGGCCGTGAAACGAGTAACAGGTGTCCTTGCTCGCTCCCTGCGGGTGGGCTGCTTTCTTAAGGGGGGTGGGGGTGCATCTGTGGGTTGGGCTGGAGGTGTGGCTTAGGTGGTCTGTATATGGGGATAGTTATTTTTCATTCCTTATAGATCCTTTGTATTCTGTTGCTGCACAAGCGCTCTGGCAGAAGGTCCCAGGTCACAGGCTCTTAATCTGAAGGAAGTCACACCCTCCTAGGCCCCGTTTCACATTTTGGTTCTCTGTATATTACACCTACTCTAAAAGCCATGGGTAACATGCCCTGGCTCTTCTGACTGTCCAAGAAGAGGAACCCCAAGGGCTACTGTTCTGGATCTCCATGAACCTGTCCACAGGCCCAGGCCCCCCCACTGCTGCATGCTGTGGGATCTACGACCCTGGGCCCTGGCCCACTCACCTGTCCGGGCTCGGACCAGCACATCCAGGCCATAGAGGATGTCTGCCGAGTAGTCCAGGACCAGCCAAAGCATCAGGTGCTCGGACTGAAGCTCATCGAAACAGGCCCTAAAAAAGTGCAAGAAGGGCAGTGTGGGGGAGGGCCGGGGTGGGCAGCAGCGCTGCGCTACAAACTGGGGCTCAGTTCATCCCAACAGCCCGGCCTGCTGGCTGTACCCCAGCACCTCATCCCGGCCTCGATGAAGGACCTGGGCTCTCAGAAGCTTTTCTGCCTCGAGGTCACAGCTCCTAAGAAGAGCTGAGACTGACACCAAAGAGTGGGCCCTGTTGTCTCTTGACAGTAAGTGATATGATGGCCCCTTCCCCACACTGGGGGAGGGCGGTTTTTCCAGGCCTCAGTGGTAGAGTCACATGAAGGGGTTAGAACTTGCCCTTTCTGGGGCCAAATGCCAACAAAGATACTACAACTTCTAGAGATTAACAATGGAACAAGTCACATCTGCCCCCTGCAAAACAATAGCTCACCATGCACCCCAAACGGCTCAGAAAGCCCAAAGCCCCGCTCTGGTGTCTGCCCCCCGGTGGGGGAGGTTGGTCCAGACTGGGATTGACATATACACACTATTATATATAAAATAACTAATAAGACAACTAATAAGGACCTATAGTATAGCTCAGGCAACTCTCTGTATGACTTATATAGGAAAAGAAACTAAAAATCAGTAAATATATGTATATATATAATAGGCTCACTTTGCTGAACACCTGAAACTAATACAACATTGTAAATATACTATATGCCAATAAGAATTAACAGAAAACAAAAAAGAAAGCCCAAAGCCCATAGCCAGCGGAGAACACCGCCTGTTACCTACACCCCCGCCCTGCAGGTCAGCGCAGGAGTGACCCAGCCCTCCCACTTCCCCTCAGGAGAGCAATATCTCGCTCTTGCAGCTTCCTCCTGCAACTCAATTAGGAAGGCTCCAGGGTGCCAGGACCTTTGCTTTGACCTCAAACACAGGTCCCCACGGGTGCTCCCTCTGTTAGCCCTTCCTTATGGACAGAGCCCTGGAGGAGGGCATGGCCACCCACTCCAGTATTCTTGCGTGGAGAATTCCACGGACAGATGAGTCTGCTGGACTACAGTCCGTGGGGTCGCAAAGAGTTGGATGCTGAGCGACTGTGGGCAGAGAAACTGAGGCCCGTGCAGCCGGGGGTGGCGCCCGGGGACCCAGAGCTCCGTCCCGAGCTGCCCCGCCCCGCTACCTGCACACGAGCAGACACCAGTTGTAGAAGACGGGCGCGGCGATGGCGGTCAGCCAGTGGTAGTACATGTTGCTGGAGGGGTCCACCACGACGCCGTCCTGCTTCTTCCTGGAAATGCCCACACAGACAGCACAGCGTGTTGGAAGTCTGGAAGCTCTGGAGGGGTTTAGAGACCTGGTCTAGCTTACAGACCCCAGGGCAGCTGTGGGCCGCAGCAGAAGAGATGACTTCCCAGACAGGGTGCTGTCAATCTCCGCGGGGGTCACGTGGGTGTCCCTATAGAGGGCCTCCTCTGCCAGCCCCAGGAAGCCACGGTAACTCTAAAACCATGGTGATGACATTCCCACGTGCCCTGTGGTATCATCCAGACCCTCCAGGGTGCCAGGGAGGAAAGTGGAGCACTGTAATGTTGGAACCACGTCAGGGAAGCTTCGGGAAAATGAAGCTTCCCAGGCCTGCCCAGACCCCTCCAGGGCTGGGGTGTGGAAATGTGCATTTGACTATCGCCCCAGGCGGTTCTGAGGCAGCTCCTCTCTGGACTGACCTTGGGATCCCAGGGCTCCCCTTCAAGAAGGTGCTCTGTCCACTTCACTAACTGCATTTGTGCAGATGTTCTAAAGCCTCACTTCCGAGCACTGGGGTCCTGCCTCCCACCGAAAACCACCAGCCTGGGAATCACTGCACTTACATCAGCCCAAGACTGAAAGGAAGAAATAGCTTAGGGTGCTTTCTGCTTTCATTTTCAGGATTTTCGGAGGGTTAGAATTTATAGTTGGTACTGGAGATCTTTTCTTTGGGTCCACCTGTCTCCTCCCCAACACCAACTCCCCACCGTGCCCACTAGGCCTGCGGACCTGCTCCTGCGCCCCAGAGGACACCCTGGGTTGCCTTTCTGCTTGCTCCTGAACTGAGCAAATGCAAGATCAGTTTCTCACTGACAGGGCTTTGGACATTCCCAACCACCAACACTCATCATCACTGGGTTTGAACTACAGTTTGTGAACATGGTATTTTCTAGTGCCTGGGAGAGGGGCTCCACACACCCCACATGTGAAGATGACGCCTGGTGGGCAAACAGAACACCCCGGGAGAGGGCAGGCTCCCAGGGAAGCCCCCAGCTGCTCACCTGGGGCTGCAGACCACCCTGCCTACCTACAAGCCCCACTCTGAGGTCCCCGACTTTCCCTGCAGAATGAGACCCTCACACGAGCTCAGCAGGCCTGATCCCTGCCTGAGACCAAGTCCTTTTCCATAGCCCTAAGCAGCCCCTCTCCAGGGCTGACCCCGAGGCCCCACGGGTCAGCCTCTCCCTCCTCCCTGGAGAGGGACCAGGCGTGCTGTGACCCCAGAACTTCCCCTCTTTGGGGGCAGTTTCTCTGAGTACTTACTCCTCTTTCTTGGGGTTTTCCTTTTTCTCTTCCTTTTTCTCTTTCTCCTCCTTGTTCGCCTTGTCACTGGATGACACAGGGTGACACTTAGCAATTTTTGAATACCGTGGGGAGCGGGCAGGGCACAGTGACCGAAGGAGGGGGTGTGGTGCAGGAAACTCATCTTTCCAGCACACTGGGGTGAAGCAAGGTTGCTCATTTCAATAATAATAATAATGTCAGGAAGCTGGTGCACAGAGAGCTCAGGTAACTTGCCCAAGGTCACAAAGCTCTCAGGTAGCTGAGCTGGGGTACAAATGCTCTTAACCAGTACATATCTTAAACATATTGTGTGTATGTGGTGCTAGCTGTAAAGAAACTGACTGCCAATGCAGGATTTATAAGAGACATAGGTTTGATCCCTGGTTCAGGAAGATCCCCTGGGGAAGGAAAAGGCAATTCACGCCAATATTCTTGCCTGGGGAATCAGGGAGCCAGTCCATGGGGTCACAAAGAGTCAGACATGACTGAAGCAACTTAGCATCTATGTATGTATGTATGTATGTATCTATTTATCTACCCATCTATATTCTCAATACACAGACCTAGAGAAAACTTGGAGGTATATTTGCTGATATGTGAAGAGGGGTTTCTCTGAAAATGGGGTTCGATTATTAACATAGAGTATACTTTTGTGGGTATGTGCTCATGGGTGCTTTTCTGTTTCCCAAGTTTTTGACAATGAACATATTAATAAGTTGAGTAGAAACAAAAGTTATAACCGGTGAATGAGAAGCGCAAGGACAGTCACCCCGTCCTCTGGTCTCTTGAATCCACTGGTCCTTCAGCAGCGGAGTCTTAATGCCAAGACACCAGCAGAGGGCGCTGCCCACAAGCTCATGGGGCACACAGCCCTGCTGGGAGTTTAATCACGCCAGGCTCCGCCACCCTTGTTCAGGATGTGTGGCCTGGGTTACAAGCTTCGGCCTTTCCTCTGGCTGCCAACCTGCTGAGGCCTGGGGAAGACCCCGTGCCATCCAGCTGTGTCCCGGAATGCACCCAGCACTGACCCAGGGGGCCTGCACAGAGCTACGAATCGATGGTGGCTTTGAGAACAATTTGATCAGGAGAAAGAAATTTTCAGAACCCATGGACTAAGTGAAAATGCCATAAATGTGGTGGAAGAGTGGGGGAAGGTGCCCATAAGAATTGCTACTGCATCTTTGTGCCCAGGTGGCCCCATTTGGGAACAGTGCTCTGTTTTGTCCTTTGGTCCTTGGACCCATGGTATGAGCTCATCTGAAAAGATTTATCAGTGCCTGATGCAGCCAACAGCATGCATCCCCATCCTTGCCCACATCCTAGCCCCAAGTCAGAGAAGCCTGGAGACCCACCCACAGGACCTCTGCCCAGTCGGGTGTCCTGAGTCTTTACTCAACTGCAGGACTTTCAAGGGTGTTTGATGTTAGGTTTGCCTTGACATCAAGCACATTTAGAAACAGCTATCATTTTGCAGATTAAATCATTTCGTTTTTCTGACATTTGGGTCTCTGGATTTGATGTCCCACTTTATGTAAACAAAATGCAACTGAGGGCGAGGAATGGATTAGGAGTTTGAGATTAGGTCAACTCTTAGTGACCCCATAGACTGCAGCCCACCAGGCTCCTCCATCCATGGAATTCTCCAGGCAAGAATGCTGAAGTGGGTTGCCATTCCCTTCTCCAGGGGATCTTCCTGACCCAGGGACTGAACCTGGATTTCCTGCATTGTAGGCATTACTGCTGTCTGAGCCACCTGGAAACCCTTCTTTTTCTCACTTCAGGGAAGAAATGGATTAAGAATTTGGGATTAACAGATGCAAACTATTATATATATAGCATGGATAAAGAACAAGGTTCTACTGCATAGAACAGGAACCTATACTCAGTATCCTGTGATAAACCACAACGGAAAGGAGTCTGAAAAAGAATATATAAATATATAAAACTGAATCACTCTGCTGTATACCAGAAATTAAAACAACATTGTAAACTTATTTCAATTAAAAAAATAAATTTAAAAGACAACAACAACAACCAAAAAACCCCCAGTGCAACTAATGTTCACGGAGGGAAACAGAAAAAAAAGTCTATCAGAACAAAGGGAAACAACAAGAAAAAGCCTTGGCATAGCTCTCTGTCAACCGGAGGTCAACAAATTGGCATTTCTTGCTGATATGGTCCTCCTAGGCTCCAGCTGAGACCTCCCCTTTCCCTACCTATCGCCGTGGTGTTCCACAAAGGAGGGCTGGAGAACGGGGCACACATGCACACGTGTTCACACATATAAATGGTCACATACACATACACACTCCCGAAAGCCCAAAGGCTTTTGGATGGCGTTGCCAGAATCACTCATCAAACTTCTCTGCCAGCTCAGCATCAGGTGGTAGGAAGCAATCGCAGTGGGCCAGTGTTTCAAGAGGTTGTTCTCTGGAAATACTTAAATTTCCTCTTTCCACTGATTACATCCTGATCATGTCCTCCAAAGAGGCCCAGATTAGCCTTAAGACAAGAGCATTCCCCTGGCACACAGGAGCTTGAGGACGTAGAATGAAAAGTACATTCTTATCATGAAGGAGAAGATCCACTGCTCAGTAAAGAGACCCCAGCTTTGCACCTTCAGATACATAGCAACAGAGGGTGCTGGCACTGAAAATGTTTACCCATCCAGCTCCTTCGCTTTATAAATAGAACAATGCAAGACACACAGAGAAAAGAGGACCTGCCCAAGGAAGTCACACAGAATAGGTCCCTCCCTACGTGTGTCCACGGGGATGGGTTTCCAGTGCCAGGAGCAGGGTTCTAGCACGGTCTGGCGGGTGTGGCAGAAGCGGCGGGCCTAAGGAGGGAGACACAGCTGGGTGTCTGCAGGAGGCTGGGTGTCTGCAGGAGGCTGGGTGTCTGCAGGAGGCGGGGAGGGGGAGGGGCAGAGGTACTCACTCCTTCTCTGAGTTGTTGCAGGTGTTGGTGTTGTTCCTGGCCAGGGGCCAGTCACTGTGGGGAGGCAAAGAGAATCTGAGCTCGGCCCACTTGCCGGGGACCTCTTGCCCTCAGCCAGTTATTCTGGGACTCCCATCCCCTGTCTCCTGGGCCTTTCCGCACAGTTTGAACACAGGGAATTGTTATTGTTGGGGACAAACTTTTCGGGTGTGACCAGTTTGTGCTGGTGAACGCCTCGGAGTAGAGCAGAGGATGAACACGTGGGTAACGTGAGGATTCTGAATAAATGAGGGGTACCTCTTTGAGTCCCATCCAGCACCCCGGCCTCAATTCCTCTGATGTTTCAGCACGCGCCAGGCAGTGCACCAGATGCTATGGAGGGCACAGAGATGGCCCAGCATGGTGCCCGCCTCGGGTGCTTCTGGGTGAACAGGCTGAGTGCCATGGACCGAGGTGGACAGAGTTAGCGGCAGGGACAAGGTTCTCACAGGGCCCCTCCCTCAGACGCCTCATCACAGGCGTTGCTTCCCATTCTTAGGGCAAAGAATAGACAGGGCAGAGCTACCCCAGGGCTCAGCCCATCCTCCCCAGCCCGGTCCCCAGCATTCGCCCTAAAACTTCAGAGCCCACTACCCAGATCTATGTGAGAATCTTGTAGAAGGTGGTTTGCACCCAGCGATGTTTATTTGAAGCTGGACTGGGCAGTGCTTGATGATATTCTTTAGGAAAAGGCGTGATCCTCGTGAGCTCAACTGCCAGTTCACGTGTGTGACAGCTGGTTTAAGAAAGCCAGCCTGAATCACAGGGCTGGGGGGAGGCTTGCCTGTCTGTGGTCACTGCAGACCAGTCACAGGACAGGAGGTCTGGGGGCCAAAGCCAGTGGCTGAGACACTCCACACTCAAGGCACCTCTCCTCTGATGTCGAACATCTAGCCAAATACCTTTCTGGTACTTCTGCATGCCCTGCCCATGCCTCCCTCCTTCCATTCAGAATGTGGCTCTAATCGCTTTTTTCAGGATTAATTTAGATCATCTGAAAATCCCCTGAGGAATCAAAACTGTGCTATTACAAAGGAAAGTTTCAGTTTCTGGGGTGCAGTGGTATGTGATTGCCACACCCCTGTGCCCATAATCTCACTGGGCCAAACCCATAGGAGAACTAAGACCCATTTCTGCATACATTTTGCTTTGCTAATGGGACTTGACCTTGAAAATTCAAGGTCTTCTTCCACCAGGAAGCCTCCCTGATTGCTCTGCTCCCATCCTGCACCATCGCATTCACCCGCCCACCCTGAACCTTCCAGTGAGTTAACCACGTATTGGTGGCAAGTTGGGGCCTGGCCCCAATGGGGTCCTAGGTCAACCCTCCACTTATCTGGTCACACAGGGAAATGGACAGTCTAGGGTTCGTCTCCATGAATCTCAAGTTGAGGAGAAGACAGCTTGATCAGTTAAGCCAAGGAAGTCTTTGCTTGCCCAAAAGGAACTGAAGCAGTTTTTTGACTTGCTAACAGACCTCCTTCCCTCCCTACCCCTTCTCTGCTTCCTGCACCCCACCCCCTGCCACACANTCTGTTCCTTTGATGCAGAAACAGCATTTTCTCAATCAAATTACATAGGGACTGTCGGTTCTGCAACAACCATGCTTCCTTTTCACCCTTCTTTTTATGTCTTTTAACTCCTGGCATGACCTAGAGAATTCAGAATAAAGATCTTGTTCAAGCCCCCCTTCCCCTTAAAGCAGGTTCTGAGCAAGTGTCCTCCTGTTTGTGAGGCTGAGAGGTCTGCTTCCCCCGCAGGCTCACCTCTCCTGCCGCCACGGGCTCCTAAAGAGACCTTCTGCTGTTGAGCGACAACTGATTCCACCCGTGGTGGCTCAGTGGTCTCCCACTGGCCAGAAGCTGGGTGCTTCTCAAGAGCACTAGAGGGGAGGGGAGGGGAGGCAGCAGCTCTGTGTGCGGAGGGGCAGCAGGGCATACCAGTCTAGCCTCTGCAAATTTCTCCGCATGCCTGCACCCCACAGAACCAGACACAGCTCCCCGCTGGGTAGGGGGCCAGGCAAGGTGCGCAGAGCCCTTGTTCTGCAGACCCTTCTCCTAACGAAAAGCAAACACTCTCCCCATCCCCCCCCCAGACCCACCTATTGTCCCCTCATTGTTCTCAACCTAACCTGGGGTTGGAAGGTTCCCCTTGAAAGTTCTAACCAACCTTCAGATCTTTTCCCCAGAAGAATGCACCTATACCCATCCATAAAATTGTGGGTACCATGCAGGTACTCCCCGAGGCTCGTGGTACAAACTGAGGCTCAGTTTTCTAGCAAGACAGGTCACAGTGCAGTGTAGGATGAGGGTCCTTTGATGGAGAGATTGGTGAGGCCAACGTCCTGGAAGTGTGATTCCGAAAGCATCATCACCAGGGGGTGCTGGGGGGCTCTGTGGAGGACAGGGTCAGAGCTCAGTTGAGGCTGGGGCCTCAGGTTAAAGGGTTTCATCTCCTTCAGGGCTTCTTGAAGTCTGATGGAGACACTTAGAGCATGCAGTGTACCCCAGAACAGACCCTTTCTTAGGGAATACCCGGGCACCGATGTTCCAGGCCACATGCTGGGCGAATCCACACTGGACCAAATGAGCAGCAAGTGCTTCCAGTCCCATCTGGTACAGGTGGCCCCATCTCCCTTACCTTCTCCCTCTGTCTGGCAGCTCCTGGCTGCCCACATTGAACTGGACATGGCTTTCTCGGCTGGACACCTCTTTGAGCTCGGCTCCGCTGAAACGCTCCAGGAAAGAGTTGGGTCTCTGTTCCTCCTGGTGTAACTGCCTGGGGGTCCAGGCACGGAGCAAGATGATGAGGCGTGACAACCTGGAAGGACAGATGGGCAGCCAGGGCGAAGTAGAAGGACGCGGAAGCCTCCCCCCCGCCCCCCCCCAGAGGGTGAGGGCAGGGGAAGTGATCCCAGCAGGCGGCAGGCTCAGGTTTGACCCCACCCCTGCCCCCATTCCCCAGAATTGCTTCTTCCTCCCTCCTCTGCCACCTGGGATGGAGCTTCCTTCAGAAGGGATACTATTTTCATTGTGGCTTTGTCACTTTAATGCCTAGACTCCATCAAAGGCATGATCCTTCCAGTGGGACCTTAGCAAGTTTATCCGCTCAGTTTTCCTTTTGCCCCATGTAGAGCTCTTTGTTATGACTGGTAAGTAGAGGAACAGTAAAAAATACAATTTCCAAATAGGAATAAAATTCAGAACAAGTTTAATGGAGCATGCACCCAGATACAACCTAGGTTCTTTCCCCAGTCCTTGTCCTATGAATTGCTTTTCATACAAACTCTTATTTTCTCTCCTGGCCTGTGGAGAAGTCCCTTTGCAATGTGCACTGACCTCTATCTTGGAGCAGACCTGGTCCAGGCCTCAAGCACCTGAACCCAGGCAGCCCACATGCCTAGAGCTCATCTCAGCTCCAGCTTTCCTGTAAAACCTTCCCTCAGCCCCACCTCCTGAGTCTCAGCAGTGGCAGGGGGATTTGGAGGAGGTGCAGGGGGTGGGGGGAGTTTGGGCCGAGAGATTCAACTCTGTTTCTTGGTGTCTGGCTTCCCTGACTTGGCACCCATGGTACCCCAAATCTGTTCTGAGCAACCTGGTATGGAGTCATGAATTGTCACATACCTTGATCCCCATCACACACTTGTGACCATAGCCTAAAAATAAATGCAGCAAAGGAATATCCCACAAACAGAACAGAGAGGCTAATAGCTGCTGCTGCAGATGAATGTCAAGGTGCCTGCCAGGCCCAACCTCTCTGCTCTGACACTCCGCCCACTCAGGTCTTCCCTCTGCTGAGGGGTGGAACAGAGGTCATACTCCCTGGAGCTCCAGCCTTGGCCAACAGGCTCAGGGATGGGCAACGGATGACTGACCCACAGAGACTCAGTCACTCAAGCCTCTGAACTAAAAACCACTTCAAGATGGGGTTGGGTGTTGCAACTCAGGATGGTATGGTGCAGTCCGTTTTCAGCCTGTACCCACTGAGGTGAGGGCAGAGAAAGCCAGAAGTGGAAGAGGCAGGCAGCACACGGATCATGAAATGCTGCTAGAGAAATGAGACAGGGAAGGCGGCTGCCTCCCCGGGGCCCCTCATCAGCCCCACCGTCTCCATTTCCACGAGGTGGCCTGGATCTTAGGTTATACCAGCCTTGCTCTAGCCTTCCCCTTTCCATCTGAGCTGGGTGAAGGTGTTCTCTTCCTTATAATCAACAGGCCTCAAGAGAGCATTTTATTAATAAGATGGAAAAAAACCACTGCATATCACTTAAGTGCCCAGCTACAAGGAGCTAGTGAAATAAATAATCCTCCACCATGAAAAACATGAAGAATAACTAGAGAAACTAATTTTTTTGAAATACTCTTAAGCAGAAACTGTAAAAAACACTACTGTATGAAACTCTGGCTTTGGATGAAAAAAAAAAAACCTCAGTGGAAGGAAATCATGAGCCCAACATTTGCTGACTGTCTAGTGTGGGCTCCACTGCAGCCCTCATGTTACTAGATGCATCTTCAGACAAGATTTGAAAGGTGAAATGACGTCCTCCAGGTGGTACAGCTATTGAAGCTGGAGAACAGATGTCATCAGAATGGAGACAGAGCTCAGAGCCGAGTTAATCTTTCAAATGCTTTTGCAAGGATGTGAGCTATGAAGTCTAGACACTTAGGACTGAGGACCTGCCAGGGGCTATTTCAGACAGGGCCGCCATTGCCATCTGCCTGCCACTGTGGTCCACCCTGTAGTCTCCCCTGGCTGGCTGGTCTCTTTTCTGAATTCTTTTCTGAAACTTCTCTGTTTCAGAGAAGTGTTGTTTTTTTTTTTTTTTTCCTGAATTCTTTCAGAATTGAACATGTACCTTGATATCACTTTTTATGAGAGCAATTTCAGATAAAGGCAGTTTTTCTTAGATTTTTCTGAGCTCAGAACACCTGACCCAAGAGGAAATTACTCCCTGATAGATTTCTGACTCTGCCTCTCCTGCCCCTTTCTTCTTCAAATCTGCAACCCCACCCTCATCCACCATTTCCTCCTAAGACTTACCTTCTTTCTGCCTCTGTCTCCCCTTTCCCAAGCTAAGGGCCGAGACCAGTCAGTTACCTGGTGGGACCCTGGCTGGTGAAGGAGCTTTGCCTGGATTCAGCCAGTCCTCTAGTCTCCATGGCAATGCCTTCCTGCTGTTCTGACGATGTCTCCTCGCATGGCAAATGGGTCCTAGGAAATCAAATATGCAGCAAGAGAAATTGATTTCCAGCTCATCCACCTCTTGGACGTGTTAAGGACTGAGATGGCCAGATGCTCTGCTTAAAGAGGAATGCTGCTGTCAGAGATCCTCACCCCAGGGCTCTACACTTCAGTTTATGCTCCAGCAAATCCTGACTTTTAGGATAATGTGACCTTTCCTTTATGGCAAGGAGGCCACTGTCCATAGCCTAGGTGAAAGGGGCAAGCCAGCAGTAAATGGTCCTTATTAGAGCATCGAGGGCAGGGCGTTGGGGTGGGGGAGGTACCATGCCTGCCTCTGGAGCCAGAGCAGTTGTTTCCACATGAGGATTCCAGAACAAGGATTTTGGTTCACACACATCTCTGCATGCTGAAACCCTGTCTTCTAAAGCCAGATCAAGGGCCGCCTCCTTCAAGAGGTCTTCCCTTGCCCTCTGTCCCTGTGTGTATGGCTGCAGGAAACCACTGGTTAAGAGGAGGGTCCTGAAATACTGTAATGAATTGGCTTCATATTTGTATAGTGCTTTCAATGAAAGTCCACTTCTGCTGTGCCCTTTCGCCAAGGCAGGGGCGGAGGACCTTCCCTTGTGCAATTCAGGCAAAAAGACTGAGCATCAGCAGAGTCTGGTGTTTGTTGAATTTCCTGGAATAAGATCTCTCTGTTGGGGCCTGTTTTCCTTTCTTTCCCTTTAAAACTTCCTGGGGCTGAAGTCTGATCAGCCTGATTAAAAGCCATTCCAGGCAGTGGCCTCTAAGGATTTGCACTACATCCTTCGAGTCTTAAAGAGCCCAAGCAAGACAAATTAATTCGATCACATGACCTATTCCAACCTAATCAGCCTTCTTAACAAGGTGGCAGCACGGTTGAAGAAGTAAGCAAGAATTACTGTCAGGGTACAGGCTCTGGGTCTCCCCAGTGAGTGATCAGAAGTCAGAATCCCACAACCCAGCTGCCAAGCTGCTGCCTCTTCCTTTCTGCAACAGCCCTGCTGTCTCCAGCACAGGGGGAGCTCACTACCACACTGNAGAAAGCTGAGCACCGAAGAACTGATGCTTTCGGAATCTGGTGTTGGAGAAGACTCTTGAGAGTCCCTTAGACTGCAAGGAGATCAAACCAGTTCATCCTAAAGGAAATCAGTCCTGAATATTCATTGGAAGGACTGATGCTGAAGCTGAAACTCCAATACTTTCTCGACTTGATGTGAAAAACTGACTCATTGGAAAAGACCCTGATGCTGGGAAAGATTGAAGTCAGGAGAAGGGGATGACAGAGGATGAGATGGTTGGATGGCATCACCGACTTGATGGACATGAGTTTGAGCAAGTTCTAAGAGTTGGCGATGGACAGGGAAGCCTGGTGTGCTGCAGTCCATGGGGTTGCAAAGAGTTGGACACGACTGAGGACTGAGCTGGACTGAGGACGGAGTTCTGTAGCACGCCACTAGAGACATGACTCTGACTCCCCTAGCTGCACTATGTGGGCATGTTTTTGTTATTACCAAAGCACCTAATCGAATTCTCTCTCTAAACTCATAAGAGACCACCCACACCTCAACCTTATACATATAAGAGACCCTGTCAGGACTTACCCTGACAGTGGATAAGAATCCATCTGCCAATACAAGGCACATGGGTTCAGTCTGTGGTCCAGGAAGATTCCACATGCTGCAGAGCAACTAAGCCCATGTGCCACAGCTGCTGAGCCTGCGTGCTGCAACTAGCTAAGCCCGTGAACCTAGAGCAACGGCAGTGAGAAGCCTGGGCACCGCAACAAAGAGTAGCCCCCACTTGCTGCAACTAGAGAAAGCCTGCACACCAAAACGAAGACCCAGTGCAACCAAAAATAAAATGAAAATTAATTAATTTAAAGAGAGAGACCCTATCAGAGGCCTTGCTACAATTAGGAAGCTACAATTCCCTTGCCCTTCTAATATTGTGTACCACAAAGCTGGGAATGCATGTTCCAAGGCACCGGGTCAGTTGCAGGAGGGGGAGGCAGGGAGACAAGTGAATCCATCTCTCCAATCCCTGGTTCCGAGCAGCTGGCACGCCTGGGAGTCGGGAGCTGGAGGTGGGGGCAGCAACGGGGAGCTGGGCTGGAGCTCTGCACAGCCTGTGTGCCTGGAGGTGGTCCCCAGGAAGAAGGTGTTCTGTCCCCACCAGCTCCTCAGGGAGTTCCAGGCACCAGGCAGTCAGCCCAGCATTTCTGCCTAGTCTGGTTTCTGCTAATTGTGCAGGAGCACATCCTGAGAGCAGACTTACTTGCATCCGCAGCAAAGGACTCCATGCCCATGACATCAGAGCTTGTGGGTGAGTGAGAGGGGCAGAACTCACCCCAGATTTCAAAGCAGGCCTGCAGCTGGCAGCAGTGAGAGCCACCGCATGTGGCCTGGACCCATGACATCCCCTGGAAGGGGCCGCAGCAGAATGGGGGACCTGGAGGCCGGGGTTTGAGTCCCTACCCCAACACCTATTAGCTAGGTGTCCTGGGGGCTTGTCACTTACCCTCCTGAGTTTAATTTTCCTGGTCTTCAAAAAGGAAACAAAGGAAAAATTGATTCCATAATGACTTGTTCAAACACCCAAGTCCCAAAAGTCACATTTAGTTGTGAGGAACAGGAAGGGTCTTATATGATGTAAATTCAAGGCACCCAAGGGGCCTTTTTTTCTGGATGCATCTCCCTAATTGTTTCTTGATGCCCAAAGTTCTACCCTGATATCTTTCTTCTAGCTCCAGAATCTCTACCCTTTTTAAATGCTTGGGGGATATCTAAATAATAGCAAATCCAATGAGTTACTCCTCAGAGAAACTGATTTCACAAGGTAGACAGAAGGGGAGATGGGGTAGGAGGAGAGGAAACAAATGTCTGAGGTGACATGTTGAGTACCCAAGGACACACAGGTACTGCTGAAAGGGAGAACCTTCTGGCAATCACTGCAAGATCAGAGATTCAGAACCTCGAAGGGAAATACAGAGGGTGGAGACTGGGAGCCAGGCCCCGTCCTGCCAGGAGCTAGCTGAGGACTTGACAGGCCTCAGGCTCTATAGAACGAGCAGATCAGGCCAGGACAACCTGACTAGGTCTCTGTGGTGATGCTACCTCCACAGGAAGAAGCCCTGTGAAGCTGGTAATTAGCAAGAACAAGGACAACTGGTGAAACACAAGAAACTGATTGTTTTGAAAGACAAGGCTATTTTCAACGTGTAAAGCTCATCTTCTGTGTTTGTTTATACAGAGGAATTCATGTCCATGAGGTGAGGCTTTTTTGTCCCTGGAGGAAGCAGAGGTTCTCATTAGAATGTAAACGGGTGATTAACTTTGTGCTCTGTGGATCTGGTGTCTTCCTCTAGTGACCTGGGGGACATGCGAGTGAACAGAAGTGACCTTTAGAACAAGGGTGGAGAGCAGGACACATTAATTTTCTTCTCCTCCCAAGCCCCGAGGAACTAGAGTGACGGGCAGGCGCTAACCCAGCCGCATGTGACCAGGGAACTGAGGTCACTGCATTTTTGCCTTCAGTTCTGGGGAAGCAGGTGGCAAATGGTTTTCTTTTGTGATAATTGCTTTGGGCTCTGCTCAGGAAGCAGCACGAAGAAGTCTCCTCTTCTGTAGGACATGACCCCCTCTGCCCAACAGCTCATCTAAAATAGCCACACCAGGAGATTGCTCTGGGGGTTGAGGTGTCCTTGTGCTAGCTGTGATTCTCTGCAGCAGGTTCTAAAGTCTTTATTGCATTATCTGCAAAAACATGCCAGAGAGCTCTTAAATAATTGAGTCAATGAAATAGATCTAAATAGAAAGAGCAAAATGCAAGATATTTTTATTTCTGGTCTTTTCAAGGTATAAATTTAATTTTTTGTTGTTGTTCAAAGGAAACACGGTGATCCTTCCTTATGGCTCTTCACTAGCAAAACAATCCCAGTGCTTTAAAAGAGAAATGGAAACTGGTCTCTAATTTGGTGAAAGAGCTGGGAAGAGAGACGTCTCAGGGGACAGGAAGGTGATATCTTCCCTCTCTGGGGGGCCCTCAGCAAAGGGCCAAGCAACACACAGGTTCCCAGCACAGCTGAGCGACATCACTGAGGATGAAGAATGATACACATTCAAGGACACACAGTTGTAATTATTTCTCCAAAGGCTTTCTTAAAGGATTGGAATTTCAAGGCAAAGATCTATGATTCATTCAGATTCCATTTCCTCCCTCAAAATAGTGATTCAAACTTAAAAAATTTTGTGACTGTGTTAAAGTCCTTTGCTCAAATATATCTTACAGGGAAAACTGGTCTGTCCATAGACAGATGTTAGGCTGCCCTGAGAAGCAGGGGAGGGGCCTGGACGCAGCTTTCTGGCCCAAGGCTGTACCATCCCCAGCATGAACTCCTATTCTCAATCCTCAGTGATGCTAAGGAGCCATTCTGGAAACTTCTGTTAACCCACTCCTGCTTCTGAGAGATAATGCTTCTCATGAAGGAAGCTTTTCTCCTCTCTCTGTTTGAGATCTCTCTAGTGTTTCCATGGGATTCTGCACTAATCTGTCAACAAGCTCTTACCACGTGTGCTGCTGGGCATGCATGGCCCCCAGTGGGGCTCAGTGAGACTCGGCTGGTGGTCAGGTTGAGACAGCCTGATGCGGACACAGGCAGGAAACGGCCCGTCCAGGTGTCAGGGCAGCTAGGGCTACCAGAGGTCAGAGGGGTCAGAGAAGGCTTCAGCCTGGGACACAGAGAAGGCCCATGGAGGTGAGCATCTCCAAGACCAGCAGGGAGTGGTGATAGGTGCTTACTGCATGGCAGGGGCTGTGGCATGAGCTTTACTCTGTTTTAACCTCGCTACTGCTCTCTGAGGTCAGAACTAGCATATTTTGCAGATGAGGTAACTGAGGCTTGGAGCTGTTGGTCAGCTTTTCAGAGCCAGTTTTCAAACCTGGCAGTGTGCCCTTGAGCCTGTGCTGTTGGTCACCACACTGGCCTGGGGATGCAGAGCAGGGGAGGGGAGGGCATGGCATCACCCGGGGGAGAAGGCAGAGAGGACTGACCAAGGGCAGCATCTCAGAGCCCCTGCTGTGTGGCGGACCCATTCTCTGAGTGTGCGTGGGCCCAACCCGAGCTCACAGAGAGGCTCTGGGAAACCACAGGCTCTTCAACAGCCTTCAAACCAGGCGGGGCTTGCTAGTTGAGGCAGAGCCGGGATGAGTCGGGCAGAGCTGGCCTGTGTGGTGGTGGTGTGGGTAGAGCAGGCATTCTGGGCAGGAGCCCCAGCCCACCTGCTGGGCCTGCCTTCTCTTGACTCTCTCACTGGGAGAAGCCAGACAGACCCCAGGGAGCCTGGATCCCAGAGATGCCCTGGCTATGTCCTGCCTGAGGCAAAAGGGAGCAATGGGGAGAAGTTCCACGCTGCTTCACATGCTCCTGATCCTGACAGCCTCTGTCCTTCTCCCCGGGGCCCAAGATCCTAGGAGCCTCATGTCTGCAGGGAGCCTGACTTTCTTGCTGTGTGCCATGCTTGGACCTGTTTGTTGTTTGTTTTTTTAGTTGCAGCATGTGGGATCTACTCCCCTGACCAGGGATGGAACTCAGGCCCCTTGCATTGGGAGCGTGGAGTCTCAGCCACTGGACCACCAGGGAAGTCCCCATTGGGCCTTTTTCCCCTTTTACTGCAACCCTCTTTGAAGCAATCCTCTTTGAAGCAACCCTCTTTGAAGCCCCTCTTCAGCCTCTTCTTCAGGAGGTTTTATAAGCTCTGATGTGGGAAAGAAACTATTAATATATACCAAAGTTTTAATAGCAGATAACTGTCCTAACAGTGTTCTTTTTCCTTTTAAATAAAGGCAATGACTTAAGCTAAAGGAAGGAGCCCTCAGTTGTGGAATACAGATTTGACCGTCAGCCAGTTAGCAGGGAGAGATTTGAGTAGGGTGAGAATTTCTGATGCCCCTGAGTCATATAAAATTTCCTGGATCTCAGCACCAACTTGCGAGAGTAGGAGGGAGTAAACATCTGTTGGCACGCTTTGAGATTTTCCTTCCTTTGCCTGAATCCCAGAAAGTGGGGATCCAAAGACTACATGAGTTTGCAGTGATAGGGAAACTATTGTCTGTCACTCATAAGCAGAGTTTGCTAAGGACCTGGGACAAAGAACCTGGACACAAAAAAATGAAATGTGCATCTGAGAGAGGAAGAGACATATATGGGTGAGTGAGGAGAAATAATAGAGGAGGGCCAGGGCCACGGATGCAAGGACTGAGGGACTGTCGTTGCATTTTTGGGCCTTAGATAATGTGCAATTTGCATGGGTGGGAGAAGTTTTCACTGCTATATCCATGGGACAAAAATAACATTGATATTGAAAATAAAGTTTCTTCTGATTTAACTCAATCAACTCATTGACAATTTAAGAAGCATCAAAAAAGTGTAAGTCCATCTGTACCAAATAGATACTCCCATTTCCCAATGCTGCTCCATTTCACAGTTGAAGATTCTGAGGTATAGAGGGTTTAGTGCATTTTCCCAGGTCTCCCAGTAAGTTAGAAACAGGGCTTGAAGTAGAGGCCTCAGGTTTCCAGGTGACTGCCTATGTCGGACATCACCGATGGTGCTGATGGCTTTGCTGGCAGGCCTGGCCCCTTCCCCCAAGTCCATAAGCATGACTGAGTCCTGACCCTCCCCGGGAAATGAGGGGCAGGGCACTGGATTGGTGCTCCACCCCAGCGCCCAGGACAGTGACTGGTGCAGACAGAGCCTGATAGACAATTGATGTCCACAAGGGATGGTGTGGCATTGTGGGGATGTTTTTACAGGAGTGTTTAATCTGCTGCGTTTTAATCTTCATTTTCATGCCTTCCAAAAGTTACATAATTTTTGGAGCATTTTCCCACATCTCTAAAATGAGAATAAAAACTATTTCAGTGTGGGTTGGGAGGAGTCATGCAGTTAGAAGGAGTGCTGTGAACAGCCTCCGCCCTCCAACCTGTCCTGCCCACAGACTAAGGCATTCTTTCTCCCCAGTCAAGAGCAGCTATGGGAACAACCTGTTCCAGGCGTGAAGTTAAAGCCCATCCTACCTGCTGAGACCGGTTTCAATGCAATCCAGATCTCTGTCCGTGGTCCTGACCAAGGGGTGTGTTCTGGTGGGGTGGGAGTATTGGGTGCTAATCTTGGCCATCTTCTTGCTGTGTCACATTCCGCCCCAAGGTGGCTGCTGAAACATGAACATGAACCAGATACGTCGTCAGGACGAGGAAGTAACTGAACACCCAGCTCGTTTGGGAGGGCTGCTCCCCAGACAAGCCCTGGCACATATGTCCTCGTCCATCTCTCTCACAACTCCTGCCACACTGTGTTTTAGTTGGCTCTCTCTGGGTTCTTGTTCCCATTCAGAAGCACAGAAAAGGTCTTTTACTCCTTTGTATAAGCTGCATGCCAAGTACTGCTCAAAATTAAATGCTGATCAAACGAATGAACTTGGTATCCGATGTAAGAAAGGTAAACCCTCATGATTCTCTTCAATGATGCAATGTCCCTCTTAACTCTGACTTTGTGGTGGCTCGGTGGTAAAGAATCCACCTGCCAATGCAGGAGACATGGGTTCAATCCCTAATGCAGGGAGATTCCCACATACTGTGGGGCAACTGAGCCCGGGTGCCACAACTACTGAGCCTGTACTCTAGAGCCCAGGAGCTGCAACCGGGCCCACATGCTGCAAATACTGAAGTCCGCACCCTAAAGCCTGTGCTCTGTAACAGGAACAGCCACTGCGATGAGAAACTTCGTTGCCTCACAGCAGTGAAGACCCAGCAGAGACAAAAATAAATAAACAACTTTTTAAAAAGTAAAAAAAAAAAGTCTGGCTTTGTCATTTGCCTATGTTTACCTTATTAATTTTGCACATTTTATAGCTCCCTCAAATCTTGTTTTAAAACAAAGCATAAAAAGCCTAAATACTTGACATTTATAAAAACCTTTACAACAAGATGTTCAACCCGATACACACTTCATCTCATTTAATCCTCAAAATAACCTCATCAGACATATACAATTTCTGTTTCTATTTAAAGATGACTAAATTGAGATCCCAGTGCTAGAAATCTGACCATGAATACTCTCCCTTCAGCAAACAGTGGAAGGTGCTCCTCTGATCGATGAGAAAAGAAAACTGATGTGAGTGCACAGCTAGCATGAGGGAAACAGAGACAGACCAGTTGCATGATTTCTGATCAAAAGTCTGCAGGAGGAAAATAAATTCCTGAGGTTAGTTTCTCTGAGGCAGATGAGCACAGGCTCTCTTGAGCAGCCGCACGGCTTGAGTGTGTCAGAAGTCAGTTGAGACCACTCCAGAGAAAAATGGTGATTTCCAGAAATAGCCCAGTGGCTCACTCCAGAACTAAATTAACTTCATATCCAAAGGAAGGTCGGTGCAGGGAGCCCAGAGCACTGCACCAAAGTACTCAACAGAGATGTGGTCCGTGCTCATCACAAGTTACTCAGGGAGGGGAAGCTACGGGCTTAGATAGTCCTGGTTCATCTTTGAGGTTTGATAGCTTAAGTCCATGATTTAATTAAAATATTATCATTTTCTCAATAGATAAAAGATGGTTTTGATTCTTGAAAACTATGTTCATTTATGTAACTTAGTTTCTGGCTGACCACAGGAGATACAAAGAAATATAAGACAAAGACAGTTTTCAAGGATCTAAAAAGTGGGGCCGATGACAGATACCAAAGAGTCCTGCTGGTTGTATCAAGAACTTAGATTCTACTCTAAGCCCAGCAGGAATGTGGTCAGATGTGGAAAGGTTATTCTGGCTGCAGTGGGGAGGATATATTCAGGGAACACGAGCAGCTAAGTGCTGCAGTATCTCAGGGGAGAGACCATAGTTGCCTGAACTAGGTTTGTGGTAGTGAATCAAATATAAAATCAATTTAAAAACTGAATGGATAGGAGCACGGGGCCATGGTAATTGATCGAGGATAAATGAGGGAGTCATGCTGCCACGACTGCGAGGGTGTGGGGTTGGTGCTGCTGCTGACTAAGGCGGGGACTGGGGAAGGAGGAAGGCAGAGGAAAAGAACGTTCCAGTTTGAGATATCTGCAGGAACTGTGAAGCCAACATCTGAAACAAGAATCCCCCATTAAAGAAATACGTCTATAATGTGAAATCCTCCGTCCCGTGAGTTTTGAGCTGAGCCCTGACTGTACTGTTACGTGCCAGGCAACACGCTAAGAGCTAGGGTTTTGTTAGAAAACAATATGCAGCTTTGTCCTCAGGGAGCTTACAGTGGGATCTAGAGAACCTCTTAAAGAAGTCTGGGACTCTGTCGAAAACCTATCAAAATTGCTCTTTGTACATTTCCAGAAAAATTGTACCAGACGAAGAAAAATCTCGATGCCCCCAGTCTGGCCCTTTCCCTGAACCGCCCCCTCCACCCTGGGCTCCAACCCTGACCCGGATGCCAGTGAATGGAGGCAGCACTTCTGGGCCCTCACAGACCTGCCCACTGTCGAGAGCTCCTGCATGCCAGGCACAGGGTAGGCGCTTGTGTAACACTGTCCTTTAACCCGCCCGGCTGCCTCCCTCTTCCTTCCCTCTTCCAGTGAAGAAACTGGAGAGGTGAGCAGCTTCCCTAATGTTGTTAGAGACCATAGTTGCCTGAACTAGGTTTGTGGTAGTGAATCAAATATAAAATCAATTTAAAAACTGAATGGATAGGAGCACGGGGCCATGGTAATTGATCGAGGATAAATGAGGGAGTCATGCTGCCACGACTGCGAGGGTGTGGGGTTGGTGCTGCTGCTGACTGAGGCGGGGACTGGGGAAGGAGGAAGGCAGAGGAAAAGAATGTTCCAGTTTGAGATATCTGCAGGAACTGTGAAGCCAACATCTGAAACAAGAATCCCCCATTAAAGAAATACGTCTATAATGTGAAATCCTCCGTCCCGTGAGTTTTGAGCTGAGCCCTGACTGTACTGTTACGTGCCAGGCAACACGCTAAGAGCTAGGGTTTTGTTAGAAAACAATATGCAGCTTTGTCCTCAGGGAGCTTACAGTGGGATCTAGAGAACCTCTTAAAGAAGTCTGGGACTCTGTCGAAAACCTATCAAAATTGCTCTTTGTACATTTCCAGAAAAATTGTACCAGACGAAGAAAAATCTCGATGCCCCCAGTCTGGCCCTTTCCCTGAACCGCCCCCTCCACCCTGGGCTCCAACCCTGACCCGGATGCCAGTGAATGGAGGCAGCACTTCTGGGCCCTCACAGACCTGCCCACTGTCGAGAGCTCCTGCATGCCAGGCACAGGGTAGGCGCTTGTGTAACACTGTCCTTTAACCCGCCCGGCTGCCTCCCTCTTCCTTCCCTCTTCCAGTGAAGAAACTGGAGAGGTGAGCAGCTTCCCTAATGTTGTTGCTTGCGACCTGAGCCAAGATTAACAAAAATCTGATTCCAGCGCCTGATCATGTAAAGTCTGTGGGTAGAAAAGAACTGGCATTGTTTTTTGGCCTAAGCAATAGGGCCCCTGCCTGGGGGTCCCATTCTTTAAAGGATCCATTCTGACCACTTTCCAACCACAGCCCATGACCAAGGGGACATGCCCACCCAGAACCCTGCCCCCTGCCCTAGGCCATGCTCTGGATGCCCTGGACCCCCAAATTCTCTGCCCAGCACGCTGTGAACTGGCTCTAGAGCCTGCTGGGGCCTCTTCCCAGGTCTGTCTTCCTGAGAAGTGTGTCAGTGTGCATGCCCTTAGACTTCCAGGTGGCTCAGGAGGAGCTGTTTGTGAGGGAGGGTTAAATGGAGCTTGGAGATGTGGGCAGAATGCCCACGTGCATGTGTGAAAGTCCCCGCCCCGTAACTTGGGATAAACCCAAAGGGAAAAGAAGGGGGCAAACCATGGATGGAGACCAGAGATCAAATCTCCCCATGCTGCCATGTTCTGAGGCCACTGTGACACGTGTGCAAACCCAGAAGTGCTAAATTGCAAACCCTCCTTGGGCAACCCTTGGCTGATAGAACCCAGAACCAAGGATAGATATTCCCCTCTTTTGTCCCCTCAGGAAGACAATTCAGACCTATATTCTACAGGGCTCTTTGGAGAAGCCCTTGAAGGGTCTAACCAGTTGCCCATAGTGGTGATTAGCTCGATAATCTACACTTGGGGTGTTTTCCCCTTTTTTCCTTGTTTTCTCTTCCAAGACTCTTACTTCTCTTCCTTGGAACCACTTTCCCCAAAAAGCTGGCTGCCATAGTATGCCCTTACCCAAGATTCTGTGGGTTCTTATGGTGAGAGGAGCGAATTACCTCAACTCAGAATGTTTTTTAGTTATTTAGCTATTGTAAGTGGCCCTTGACCCAGACCTCTCAAGGGTTAGAAGTAATCTAATTTTCTTTTTTAATTCTGTGTTCTTTATCCAGGAGAACGAGGTTGGGTAGGACAGGGCAAAATGTACATAATTAAAGGAAAATGTTAGTTTAAGATAAATCATAAGATCTTCCCCCCCTAATTGTTTCATAAATGTCATAATGGTTGTCTTTTTAAAATTACTTAAAAGAATAAGGGTCAAAACAAGGTCTATATAGTCTGATTGCTTTATGTATCTCTTTGGTATTTTTAAATCTAAAGTTTCTATGCATTTCTCTTCTTTCTTTTTATGGAAAAAAACCAAAACTGCTTGTACTACTGAGTTTCCCACAGTATGGATTTTTGCCAATTCCAGTTTTACAATGTTTCCTGTAAATTGGTAGCTGTACTCAGGATGTGGTTAAATTTGAGTTCCATACTTTTTTTGCAAGAATATTCCTTTGAGAATATTTCCTTTAGCAGCCATTGGTGATCATTGATTCATTAGGAGTTGCATATTGGTGATATGCTACCATTCCATCTTCATAAGTTAGCTGAGATATTCTTGAAAAAAAAAAAAAAAGAAAATTTGACACTATTTGGCTGCTTAGTAGTATGACTCATACAGGAAAGGCAGGTACATGCATGCTAAGTCACTTCAGTCGTGTCCGACTCTTTGAGACCCAATGGACTGTATAGCCTGCCATGCTCCTCTGTCCATGGGATTCTGCAGGCAAGAACACCATCATGGGTTGCCGTGCCCTCCTCCACGGATCTTCCTGACCCAGGGATCAAACCCGCATCTCTTATGTCTCCTGCATAGGCAGGCAGTTTCTTTACCACTGAAGCCACATGGGAAGCTCAG